TCAGGACACACGCAAAAAGTTGGAAACTGTTCAGGACTTCAGTGAAGCTTCAGCAATAAAATAACATCACTTGTGGCTGTTTGCTTGTGGGGAGGTCGCTGGGCACAATTTGCTGCCACATTTCGCCCACAAAATGCACAGTCACCACACTTTACAGTATATCCTGTGAAGCGCTTTGACTCGTCTCGGCAACGTGATGAGCTCTATCAGACGCAAGGATTATTACTGATGTATATCTGTTTACGGAACAGGGTCTTTGGGCTGAATGGCCTCCTCCTGTGCCTGCGTGAGTTACTAACAATGAATGACTGCACGTGTCAGCGTTCAGCTCAAGTTGAAGCCCACGGGAGTGCGTGTATGTGTGGGCGTGTGTGTGTGTGTACACGTGTGTGTGTGGGGGGGGGTTGCAGTGTCACAGGAAGGTCATTGCCTTATAGGTAGTGTGTGAACAGTCACAAGCACAGCTCTGGTTCTCTCATTCCCGTCACTGGCTTCTGATTGCACTATTTTCTGTTGCAACGAAAACCACAAGAGTTGAGCTGTGTGTTGGGACGTGAGTCAGTCACTGCCCTGAACAATTGCCTCTATAACAATCCTCGCATTTGATACAGCAACTTATCACATCTCAAAGCACTTCACAGGATACGCTGTAAAGTGAATTGACTGTATATTCTGTGGGTGAAAAGCAGCTGCCAATTGCGCACAGCAGCGTCCCACAAACAGTCGGAGATTGAAGGGAATTGGACACCGGGAGAGAAAAACAATTGCCTTCTCTTTTCGGAGAGAATTGCCGTGCGTAATCAATCGGCTGCCGCGCTCCGCCCAAAAAAACAGTCACTCCACTTTGCAGGGCATCCTGTGAAGCGCTCTGAGACGTCTCAACGACGTGATAAGGCGTTGTGTCAAATGCCGGGATTACCATGGGCTTGAAGACGTCTCAAAGCCAAGGGGGGGGGGGGGAGACCAGCGAGCCGGTTGACAATTTAAAGCCCTGAGCTCCGGCTGACAGCCGGAAAGCGACAGGGAAATCAATGCGGATGAAATGGGAATGATGTTAAACATGCTGATTCCGGTCTCCGCACTCTCTCTCTGCCGTCACCCGACAGGCACCCAGAGCACATCGCTGGCTGGTAATCAGATACCAACCAGCCAGTGGGTCAGGGCAGAGGCACTGGAAAGTGCTGAGGAAAGCCATTCTGAGCACATCACTCTCATTTAAACTGAACGTGAGTTTCGTGTCAAGGAAAGAGGGAGGGAGAGGGGGGCGCGGGGACAGTGGGGGTGGGAGAGTAAGGGTGCGGGGGGGGAAGTACAGGAGGATGAGGAACCTGATACAGCATTTCTAAAGATGATTTTGAGCACGAGAGACAAAAAAAACCCCAGGAGCTGGTATTGCAGCATTTCTTTGTGTGTAAAAAAATGCACAACTCTTGAAGATCTGAAACACCAAATAAACTCAACACCTAATGATAATCCCGGCATTTGACACAGCGGCTTACCTTGTCGTGGTTACGTCTCAAAGCGCTTCACGGGATCTATTCTAAAGCAGTCTGACTGTCTATTTGGTGGGCAAAATGTGCTGATTTGGAAAAATAATCCTCCATATTTGATTTCACCCGGACATTGTGTGAAGTGATTTTATCTGTAGGTGAACACGGCAGCAATTTGCACACTACAGTGTAGTAATAATCGCTGCATTTGATACGGTGCCTTATGGCTTTGAGACATCTCAATTCACAGGATTTACTGTAATGTGCAGTGACTGTGTGTTTTGCAGAAAAACAATCCCTTTGTAATAATCCCTTTATAAAAAAAAATCTGGTCACTCAATCCACAACTGTCTGTGGGACGCTGCTGTGTGCAATCGGCTGCCGTGTTTTGCCCACAAAATATACAGTCACATTTTCTAGCATATTCTGTGAAGCGCTTTGAGACGTCTCGAAGACGAGATAAGGCGCTGTACCATAATGCAGGGATTATTATTATTATTGCTGTAGTAAACACATGGCAGTTGATTTGCGCACAGCGAAGTGCCCACAGAATAGCCTAGAAACATCACAAATTAGCAGAAGACACGTGCCTAAGACCGATCAAATACCCTCGTTACGAACCGCGCTGATGAGTGTGAAAAATAACGGACACCGGGGGAGAGCTTTGATTTTCAGTTAAGCGTTTAATGAAAAGATTGTAAAATTTTCTGATTTAAGACTGTAACTCTTTTGAACTGCTGGTGTCCAGCATGTACGTACATGGTTTTATTTTATGACACGACAAATTGGAGCTGCAAATAATAAAAAAAAACCATAAATGCAGCCCTGACCTGAATTCAAACTCTTTGCGAGAATAAACAAAAGTGACAAAGGATTTTTCTTTTTTTTTATTTAAAAATACTGCTACCTCAAAACCGCCCGCCCTGACAGAATTAGACAGGAGTCACGGCTTTGAGAATGAATGTGCATTTGTGAGAAGGAAAAAAAAAAGATTGTACTGTATTTAAATAGAACGAACAAACGAACACATTACATCTTTAATGCAAAGCAAAACAAAATAAAAGTCCAGTTCTTTGTAAAGTTTTCACAGGTATGCGGTTTATGGCTATATGGGGGTAATGGGATTCTTCGTAAAGATGTTAGGACTTTTATACAACCTTATTTATTTTTTTTGCATATGGACTGAAAAGTAAATGCAAACAGTGTGTACAGAATCCAAAGGAAATAAATACATTCATTACTGCAATTACATATCGATAAAAAGAACACTGTCAAAAAAGTGTTGACTTGCACCATTCTTTGTTAGAAACTATCTTGCTGAGGTCTGAAAAAACTGTCAAAGTTTATATGTAAACAATGTGATAAATACATACTTTTTCTTTACTTAAGTTGCGAGGTCTTTTTTTTTTTAAATCATTTTTTTTTCATCATTTATACTCGTTCTTAAAATGTGCTTTGGTTTAAAAATAGTTTCTTTTCTTTCTCTCTTCTGTGGATTTGGGTATGAGCTTTTTTTTTATTAATAATAATACAATTCTGAGAACACTTTCGAGAGGAAAAAAAAAAGGAGTAACGCAAAACAAAAAAAATAAAAGAAAAACGGGAAAAAAAAAAAAATGACTAAAGCCTAGTTCTAGTTTTGCATCAGCTGCCTAACCTCGTTCGAGGTTCCTTTGTGTAATCTGAAAAAAGTTCCCCCGAATCCCCTTTTCCCTCCCCATTCAAACCCTTTAAATATGAAACTAGTGTTCCACTTGTCCTTAAAACACAGAAAAAAAAATGTCAAGATACATTGCTGTGTCATATAACTGTAGTTTGAAATCTCTTCACCAGCTGAATGCCGGCCAATCCCTGATTTCATGTTTATTTGAAACATTATTATTGTCACAGTTTTGGAAATTTTCTCTCTCTTTCCTACTTTCTTCCCCCTTCCTTCTCTCTCTCTCTCTCTCGCTCGCTCTCTCTCGCTTTCTCTCCTTAAGGAATAAACCAAAAACAAAAAAAAAAATCTATTAACTGCATCGCTACCGATCTACTTTTCCCAAAGAAAATCTGTACAAAGCCTTTTTTTTTTTGCCGAGCAGACGTCACCTCACTTGTAAGTGCTGAGATGAGACGCCTGCACATTGCGATTTGTTTAAGCTGTATTCACTAGTTAAGATCTGTGTTTTTTTTTCCCCAACATATATATATTATATATATATATATATATATACCTCTCAACAAAACAAAGTACTTTGGGAGATAGGAATGATTTATTATCTTGAATTGCCTTGTTTCCGTAAAGCAGATTTGTTTACAATCAGATGCTGTTATAAGTCTCTCAAAATGTCATACCTCAAAATACTAACGTAATTCACTCAAGCAAGGAATTTCTCTCTCTCTGTCTTGCCAGTACCAGCACTCAGTTTTACAGATCTCCAAAGAAACTTTCTCTGCCACCCTCCCTCGCCCAAACACCAACTCAGGCAAGTTTGACACCCGAAAAGATTTCCGCCGCTTAACGCGACACACGCACGTGAGAGAGAGAGAGAGAGAGAGAGAGAAAAATCAATACCTAAGTAAGCCATAAGTGTATACACGCACACACACACACACGTGGCTTTTTTTGTATGTACGTTGCGTGTTTTTTTTAAAAAAAAGCTTTAAATATCTTTGTATTCGGGCATTTTAGGTGCTAGATTCCGACAGATCTATCTCTCTGTAAACCTTTTTTTTTTTTTGCCAAGCTATATTATTATTATTATTAATATTTTTTTGGAAAAAAGAAAGCGTTTCAAACTGGCTCTCATCGGAAACGCGTTTCGTTGAAGTTTTGGTTTCTGTGTAAAGCGAAATAAAAAATAAAAATATAATAAACGGGGTTTTTTTTTTTTTTTTTGCCAGGAATGTACGTTGAGACAAAAAAAAGCTCTATTATTCCCCACTTCGCCCGTTCCCCGCGCACACATGCACACACCCGCGTACACACATACGCACTCACACGCTGTAATAACCTCTGTACCGTGTTGGCAACAGTCTGCCAGTAACTGAGAATTTTCCTGTAAACCCACTTTCACACCGGATCACATCGTAACCTCACTCCCAACCCTCCTCTCTCTCATATTATGGCTTCAACTGAAATTATGGATAGATTTGGTCAATACAAATACATGAACGGGGGGGTGTGGGGGTGGGGGGGAGAGTGCGGGCGGGAGGGGTTGACCTGACTATCTGGTTTGGAAATAACCAGTTATTCGGATCGTAAAGAAGTTGAGGTGTGTGTGTGTGTGTGTCGGGTTCTGGAATTCTAAATCTTAAGATTCTTGTAGATATCTAACCCCCCCCCCCCCCCCCCCCGCGTCTATTCTTAATATTTTCTTTTCAACTCTTTCAACTAACCCTTTGCTTTGAATCTTTCCATATAAATTATTGTTATTAAGAGGTAGCAAGCTGATAAGTCACTTCAATCGGACTGGTTTAGCAAGGGGGGTGGGGGGTGGGGCGGGGGGGAGAGAAACGAGGGTAGGGGAAAGAGTAGAGAGGGGGAATTGGAGATAAAATATAAAAGGAAATAATGGGGGTCTTTTAAAGAAAACTGCAGTAAGTCCCCACCCGCGCACCAACCTATCTACCCACGTCCAACCCTCCAAAACGTCCAGTTTAAACATTCACATAAAAATGATACAAAGTCCTTACTTTTATAAAACAAGGTACTCTCTAAAATTGTTTTTTTTCTCTCTCCCCCTCCCGACAAAACAGAGATATGGGACTCGATGTGAAGCGAGTCTTGTGTCCTTGACGGGTTCGGCAGTGATGGTGCGGGAGAGGGAGGGGGATGATGGTGGACTGAATGAGAGAAGAGGATGGAGCGAGTGAGAGAGCGAAGAGGGTGATGGTGAGTGAGTGAGTGAGTGAGTGAGTGAGAAGGAGGTAGAGATGGTGCAAGTGATTGAACAAGTGAGTGAGGCAGAGAGAGAGTGAGAGAGAGAGAAAAAGCAGGAGCCCATTTCTCTGAGATAGATAGTTATTATAGCTGAAGTCTTTGGCTTGTGCCCCCCTTGTCCTGCCCTCTCTGTCCCCCTCCCTCCCTCCCTCCCTAGCCCTGGGCCCTGAGACCTAGGTGAGGCCTTGAGGCCTGAGGTTAGGCCTGGGTGAAGCCTGAGGCCTAGTGAAGCCTGAGGCCTGGGTGAAGCCTGAGGCCTGGGTGAAACCTGGAGCTCTATGTGGGCGACGTGTGCATCCTCATGTGGCTGATGAGGTTGCGCTGCTGGGTGAACTTGCCCCCGCACACCTGGCACTCGTACGGCTTCTCCCCGGAGTGGACGCGCATGTGCTCGGTCAGGCGGTACTGGCGGGTGAAGCGCATGCCGCACTCCTCGCAGGCGAAGGGCTTGAGGCCCAGGTGGCTGCGCATGTGCCGGGTCATGGTGCCGCGCTGCGTGAACATCTTGCCGCAGATGTTGCAGGGGAAGGGCCGGGACAGCCAGTGCGTCTTCTCGTGCTGCCGCAGGGTGGCCGGGTCGCGGTAGCTCTTGTCGCAGACCGAGCAGCGGTAGGGCCTGGTGTCTCCCGCGGAGCCCGGGCCTTGAGTCGCCGCGTAGGCTGGGTGGGGGGCCGCCGGGCTGGGCATGGGCGAGCCACCCGAGCCCCCGGCCTTGGTCGGGGCCTCGCCCTCGCCCGCCGCTTCCTCCTCATCCTCCACCTCCTCCTTGATGTACAGCTCCTCCTCCGTGTGACGCTCCACGTGGGTGTTCAGCTGCTCCGAGCTCGGGAAGCCCTTCCCGCACGGGATGCACACGTACAGGTTGTCGCCGTAGGCCGCCGGCTCGAAGCGGTAGGCCAGGCCCGAGGCCCCCACCGCAGCCTTGTGCCGCCGCCGCTGCTCCTCTTCGGCCCCCCCGCCGCCTCCGCCATCTTCGTCCCCCTCGTCCTCCGCCTCCTCGTCGTCCCCCTCGTCGTCCTCCTCGGCCTCCTCCTCGGCCTCCCCTTCGCCCCCGCCGTCCTCCTCCTCCTCGGCCCCGCTCTCCTCGCTGCCCTTGCCATTCTCCTCGACCCGCCTCCTCCGCCTCCCACAGGCTTTGCTATCTCGCTGCCCGGGACGGGGCCCACGATCACCCCGTTCACCGCCCGCTGCCGGCCGCTCCCCGCCCGCTCCCGCTTCAGCCAGGCCCGGCCCGAGGCCGAGACTGAGGCCCTGGGGTAGGCCTTGTGCGAGGTCTGGCCTGTGTCCGTGGCCGCCGCCGAGCCCTCGCTGCTCTCCCGGTGCTGGTGGTCGCTGTGGTTGTCGATGGAGGCCGAGGCTGTGGGTGAGGCCTGCTCGCTCTCCCCCAGCTGCATCGGCATCTCCTCGGGCAGCAGGTGGGCAGACAGGGGTGGGCTCTTCTTGGACAGATCAAGGCCTAACATCTCAGGCCCGAGGCCAGGGGCTCCGTTAGCTTGAGCCGTCCGGCCTCCCCCGGGCCCGTAGCCCTCCTCCCCGCCTGCCTCTTGCGCCTCAGGGGAGCCAGGGTAGCGAGAGTGCAGCGAGGCAGGCGTGTGCTGGAGGTGGCTGGCTCTGTTCCCGCCACTCAGGCCCACCAGAAGCCTGGGGCTGGAGTTGGAGAGGTGGCCGGGAGCTGGGCAGCAAAGCCCGGCTTGTTGTTGTTGCTGTTGTTTCCTGTGATGCTGTTGTGGAGGAGGAGGAAGAGGTCCCAATCTTCCTCCTCCAGAGGCCTTGGTGTCTCCTCTCTTGATCCTTTTCCTACACAAAGCGCCCAGATCGTGTAGCTGGAGGTAGCTGGCCGCCGTGAGTAGAGCAGCCAGGCTGTGGGGGGCAGACAGCTCACCGGCAGCCACTTTGCCCGTGTAGATGAAGTCCAGCACTTGCCTGAAGACCGAGGCGGTCACCATGTCCGTGTCCAGGTTGATGAGGTTGTCGTGGAGCACCAGCGACTTGAAATAGACGCTGCTGGCCGCCAAGATGGTCTTGTGCGCGCGGAACAGAGCGTTCTCCACCACGATGATCACATCGCAGAAGAAGCCCTTGCTCCTCTGTTGGTTCAGCTGTTGCAGCAACTGCTTGGCGTGGTTGGGTAGCTCCATCCTATCTTCCACTCCTCCGTTCCTCTCCTCCAACTCCGCCTCCACCCCTCCCTTTGTCTTCCCTTTTCACTCGTCCAGCCTTAGGAGATCACCTGGGGTTTGGGGGGGGGGGGGGGAGAGAGAGAGACGGGGAGAATATTAATAACAACAATACTTCCAGTTGACACGGCGCCTTATCACGTCTTTGAGACGTCTCAAAGCGCTTCACAGAATATACTGTAAAGTGTAGACACTGTATATTTTGTGGGCGAAACATGGCAGACAGTCGTGAACTTTTTTTTGGATGGGATTATTACCTCCGGAAAGTGATTTGCCAATCGACTAACAACCGGGTTCCTGCTCACCGCTGGTAACCAGAGGCGCGCGTGTGGAGTGAGGAAACCGGACTAAAGGTTCGCCCTGACCCGGCCGGGAATCGAACCTCTCAGCCGGGGGGAGGGGGGGGGGGAGGTGACTGAGGGCACGGTCAAACAGGATGGTGTGATATGAAGATGGGGAAGGAGGGGGACCCGTGTGATAAATGGGATCAGAGTACAGAGCGCTGGGAAGGGGATAAAACAAGTAACAGCAGAGACATGGTGGAGCTGAGAGCAGGGAACGGAGTCAGAGGAGAGAGTTGCAGTGTGGTGGTGGGGCAAGAGAGAGAGCATGATTGACTGAACACCCACCCTCCCTCCCTCCCTCCCACTCTCTTTCCCTCTCTCTCGCCCTCCCTCGCTGCCTCCCACTAACTCTCCCTCTCTCCCGTTCTCCCTCCCACCCGTAAACAACGCAAACTCTCATGACATCTGCCAAACCAGTGAGCTCCAGTCATCCTCGAGAGTAGATGGAAGCCATCGGGAGTGAGAGTGGGGAGGGGGAGAGAGAGAGAGAGAGAGAGAGAGAAGGTAGGTTCGACGAAGTGAAGGAGCCCTTCTGCAAGTGAAAGACAGACAGCAGGGGAATGCGAGGCACAAGACAAGACAAGTTAGCAGTTTACGAGCTTGCCTGGCGATCTGGTTAGTGCGTTCCTCCCCTCTCAAAACCTGCAAACATGTGAGCTGGAGACAGTGCCAGCGCTTAGCTGCTGAGTTCCACCACCACCACCACCACCACGCATGCCTTGGGCAAGGCAATTACTCTTTACGAGTTGGCAGAAAGCCCAAAGCTTTACTCCACTCATATTTGGTCGACTTTGCACAGGAACATAATGAACCCACAGGCCTGGGCAACACCTTTGCCCCACAGTTTGTGAGCTATTTCTATATTTTTTTTTAAAAAAAAAAAAAAATCCACACACAGCCCCACCCCAACCCAAATAGCTGTCTAAATAACCTCTTCAATTTGCTGACAATCCTTTCTCACGGTTACTGTTGGAATTTTTCTAAGCGCGGACAAATAATAAATTGGTCACTTCAACCCACGGCTGTTTGTGGGGACGCGTTTCACCCACAAAATACACAGTCAATTCACTTTACAGCACATTCTATTAAGCCCTTTGAGACATCTCAACGACGTGATAAGGTGCTGTATCCAATACAAAACTTATTGTTATTATCGATAGATCATTTCTTTCCCCCACCCACACAGAGGTGGGGCCCAGTGAAACTTGTATCTGAAACTTTGGTTGATCAGTTATTAATGTATTTGGGGGAAAAACCTATTTACTTTGGTTTGATATGTGATTTCTGGATCTGAGTAGATAAGCAATCCTACTGGTGCCTGCAGTCAGTGTTATTTAAAGAAGAATTCAGATTCCCCTCTCGAGTTGATTGCAATCGTGTCAGTTTGGCTCAGTTCAGTATTTTGTTTGTTCCTCTTGGTCCCTCGCGCCCTCTGCTCCACCATCGGTGGCCGCGCTTTCAGCCCCTATGCCCCGAAACTCTGGAACACTCTCCCTCTATCCTGGAGTCCTGTAGCTCAGTGGTTGCAAGTGAGAGACCTGAGTTCAATTCCAGGCAGAGGGCGAAACCTTGGGCAAGTTTCCTTACTCCACACAGAGCCTAATAATAATCCTCCAAAACCAAAAACAATAATAAATTGGTCATTTTCAATCTACGACTGTTTGTGGGACATTGCTGTGCGCAATTGGCTGCCGCGTTCGCCCACAAATATACAGTCAATTCACTTTACAGTGTGTTCTGTGAAGCGGTTTGGGACGTCCTCCCGACGTGAAAAGCGCTATATCAAATGCAAGGATTATTATTATTAACCCCCCTTCCTCATCTTCAGGTCGTGCCTGAAGACCTTCTTCTTCGATGGTGCCTATGATCATCTCCCCCGACCCCTGGCTCAGTGTCGTGCTGCGCCTGTTGAGCGCTCTGGGACGCTGCCCTACGTGAGGGGTGCGGTGTAAACCCAAGTTGCTCCAGCGCAGGGTCAGGGGGCAGCGCCGCACTGCAGCAGGTGCCGTCCTCTGGATGAGGCGTTAAATCATTTAACGATTCCACGAGGTGACAGTTTCTCCCGAGATCTCGGCTTTTAGCGTCTCACCCAAAGAACGGCGTCTCTGTCAACGCAGTGCTCTCTCCGCCCGGCACTGAACGAGTGCATCAGCCTGGACGGTGAGCTCAAAGTTCCCGGACTTGGGGGCTCGAACCCACAACCTTCTGACCCAGAGAGTGAGGGAGAGCAAGTGAGTGGACTCCTGAGCTGGGCCATCCCTCGCTTCTCGGTTTCTTTCGTATTTCAAGTTCCTCACACTCATCAAATCCATTCTGGCCCCAACACCTCCCGACCTTTCTAACTTGCTTTCTCCCCCAATCTACTGGTGCCCAGCAGCGTCCAACAAACAGACATGGTCTGAGTGACAAATATTATTATTATTTTTTAAAGGGATTATTATGACTAGAAAGCGTTCCGCCAGTTGATTAAACAAACGGGTTCCTACTGACTGCTGGTAAATAGAGGTGTGTGTGTGGAGTAAGGAAACTTGCCTAAGGTTTCGCCCCGACCTGACCCACCCGGGAATCGAACCCGGGTCCTCTCGCTTGCGAGGCGAGGGCTCGAACCCCTGAGGTACAGGACACCACCCGGTAACAGACAGCGACGTATATAGTAGACACACACACTTATGCACACATAAATCACCAAAAAAACTATTCAAAATTCACTCGCGTTTTAGTGCAACTCCTAAATAAAAGGAATAAAAAAAAGCAAAGCTCGGAATTTCAAGACAAAAAGCTGATAGCGATCGGACAGCCTGTGATTCCACCCCCCCCCCCACCCCAACCATTCTCTCCCCCCCACCCCGCCCCCACACCCCCCAAAAAAAACGTGTGAACAATAAACCGTCTTGATTAATGGAGGGGTGAGGCACACACACAGGTGTCTCATTCAAACTTACTCTGCAGTCTCCGCACAGAGAGAGAGAGAGAAACGAGAAGAGCAGAGAGGGGAAAAAAAGATGAAAGAGCAGAGGTAGGGTGAGACGAAAGAGAGAGGAGAGAGAGGAGAAAGAGAAATAGAGAGAGAGAAAGAATTGGATAACAGAGAAAGCAGGGATTGCTCACCTCGGAAACTGAGCAGAACAAGTTAGCATCTGCAGACAATCAGCCCCACACAGGACAGAGCTGAACAGCCACGTTGCAATTCACACGTTCAGAATCTCGCTTAATCTGAATTTAGACGCCGTCTGCCATGGATGCTTTCCCTCGATCGGCACAGACAAAGGTGGGCAAACCAACTCCCCCCCCCCTCCACCCAGCCCTCCTCCCTCCCCAGCCCTCCCCCCAGGGCAAAACACCTTCACACGCAAGACAAGCAACTTCACAGATCTAATAAAGAAACCTCTTACTCCTCGTTATTAATAACCATCATCCTCGCTTTTCAGACGGTGCTTTCGCGTCGTCCAGAACTCTCAGGGCACTTCACAGGATACGCTGCAAAGTGCAGCCAATGTGTGTTCCGTGGGCGAAACACGGCAG